GCTATATAAGTTTACGGTATGACCCTGAGCATTTGATACAGGAAATGCAGGCCTATCCCCATGGGGTGAGTAGTGGGTTAGATTCACCTAATAGTCTAAAAGTAGAAGTGAAATAATTTCCAGTGAAGACTTCATGCAGCCCTTGCTGGGTTTGGATGAGTTGTCAACCCACCTGTTGCTATTTACTACAGGGGAAGCCTAACAGAATCTAGTCACCTAGTTATTAAATGTCTACATTTACACAGAGGAGTTCTATCACTGGTCAGGCTTACCAGCCACTGATTATTTATATCTGTTACTGCAAAAAAGCCAACATACTTTATGCATTACAGCCCAACAAAGAATGTATACAGCAGCTCATGTAAACACTCATTGATATTGTAACAAAGATAAATACTCAGATAAACTCTATAACTAGTATGAATAGCTGTATAGCAATTCCATGAAAAGCTGGAAAATAAGTTCACTCTCTAAGACTCCTCTGAGTTTTAGAAAGCAGGTATTCTTTATTACACGTGGGGAGTCCCCAGAATTATTCCTTTGGAGGACTCTGATTTCCCACTACAAAGTGATTGTTTATATGCTACCTATTCATACATATTCACAAGATATCTGAGAATTCAGTAATACGAAGCGGGGATTCCTCAAAAAATCTTTAGCATACAACGCCTCCTATCTGGACATGTGCCCTACGACCCTCTGGTGGTCTTCGGATGGTCATGGGGAGGAAGGCTCATAGTCTTCTGGATGAAGGCTTATTGTCTTCGTCGCTGTAAACTTTTCACCTTTCTCTCAGAAGCAGATGTATTTTGTCACTTATTCTGCTAATTGGACATTATCAGCACTATTTCTTTAAACATCTTTGGCTACACAAACACAGGATACCTATATTTCATCCCTGGACATTCCTAGATAGGGTTAGTAGGACAGACAAAGGGGATTCTGTTCAATTGGAGGATACCATTTATCTTCACAGAATGTGCTCTGGCCTTCTGCTTATCTGTGGGTTTGCTGAGTCTGCAACTGAATTTCACAAAGGTCCTAACAAGCAACAAATGCAACCCTTTCTCAATAGGATGAAAGTACAAACACTGTAGCTTGTCACAAAACAGTGCCTTTCCCCATGTACTTTTTTTTGCCATAAGCTGACTACTATGTGGTGTCTCTTGATTGGTAGTAAAAGCAGAGTGATATATCTGCCAGAAAAACAAATAGATCCTTAAGTGTTTTAGTTAAAGGCAGCTGGAAAGTACCAGGAAAAAGGATATTGCCAAGGAAGTAGATTGTCATATGCCTCTATGTGCAGAATCATTTTCTAAATGAAGGTTTGTGAATACATCATGGAGTCCAGTGTGGCAGATGGTAAACTCACCTCTATCTAATAGGATGTATGGAAATCTTTGAGCTCCTTTCAGAAGGCAAGACAAAAAAACTACTTTAAAATGTCATATTCCCCACAAAAGGTGAGCTAAAGAAGAGGAGAAAAAAAGAGAGGATTATAAATGAAAATTTTCAGTCATATTAAATACAATCTGTCTCTTGACATATGCCAAGAAAGATTAACTATGACTGCTTTTTTTTTTCTAGAATCTCTCTTTGGGTTTTGCTTTGTTCCTCTGTTTCTTTATCCTTTCTGAATATCATCATCAGCAAGCTTCTTTATAGACAACACAGAATAATATTTATTGAAACTTTGCAAGACAAATTTTTGCTATATCTTCTCCCATTAAAGGATTTGGGATGATGAAGAGAGAAGTCAATACCATGCTTGAAATACTAGTTAATTGAAAAGGAACTAAACAAATATTTTAAAATCTGACATTGTTCAGGCAAATGGGCTTCTTTCTAGTCCATCTAGTCAGTGTGTGGATCATAGGAAAGACCTTGTGAGTATATGCAGGAAATTCTTACCAGATTGAATTTGAGACTCCTTATGCAAGTACATTGAAATTCAGTTAATTACAATTAGGAGATAATACACATCCATTTAAGGCAGCAAAAATACTCCTCCATTACTTTTCTGTGTTGTTTTTTTCTCCTACATCTAGAGAACCTACAGTGATTGAAGATACCAGCCACAATACGCATTCAATAGTTGATAATGAAAAACTTGACACTGAAAGCTAAAAGAATTTTTAAGTTCAGAAAATTAAGAGGGATAATTCTAACTGTGAGGAGAACTAGAAATGATCAGCTGAAGTTTCAGCTTTCAACTGTAGCTATTACATAGCACTCTCTTGACCTCATTTTACTGTCAAAGGGAACTCAGTAGTTGGCACTCAAAAGGAATGTTGTTGTTCCCTGTTGACTATGAAAATTGCAGTGCTTTGGCATTTTATTTGGAAGATTATATAACCTTTCAGTCTACTCCATGTACCGGGGGAATCTCAGGCTTGTCTTACAAATGTGTTAGGTTATTTTAATAATTTATCTTTGCCCTATATTCAGTGTTTTTAGTCTCTGGATAATGACATCAAAGTGAATGTGACCAGGTATTGAGTACATAGCTGGGTGTGAGGCAGGAGACACTGACATATGAGACCCTGAGATAATCACATAGACTGTAGCAATTTATCCTTTTGGCCAGAGGGAGAGGTTGGACTTGTTAGAGAAAATGTGGGAAGTGAATATTTATGACATGCTTCAGAAGTCTCTGCTTCAGAAGTCTCTGCCATTGCATATTGACAAAGGAAGCAGCTTGGCTGAAAACTACCTGGTGGTGTGTAATCAGCTGTGTTTTACTGATTTCTCCCCTGGTAATGCTTATGTTTCCAGAAGGTCATTTTTTGTTGGATTTGTAGGAATGTTGTCATTATCTCTGCTCTCGGTTACCTCCTCCTACTCTGGCAACAACATACCAAAATGAAAAATATACTTTGCATAAATCTCCAAAGCATTTCACTGAAAGTCTAGAAACATTTATCTGAGGTAGGCAGAAAGCACATGCAAGACAGTAATAATCTCAATGGGGTTTTCTGAAATCAGGCAGCTTTGTGAGAAGCAAAATATCCTTATAAATATTCTTGGGATATTTTGAAAAAGCCTCTGTTGTACTAGAAATTAGCATACCTTAGGATGAAGAGAAAAAAAAAACATCAGTTGCATATGTCCTTTAAGCTGCCATTTAATGTAGTATTGAGTTGTTTTAAAAATAGTAATCCAAATCCAGCTGTACATGGCAGAACACCCAAAATAAAGAGGTGGAAGCTTGCTGGATGTCAAAAAATGTATATGCATTCACAGAGAAGGAGACTCAGAAAAGACACTGAAATAAAACAGGAAATTATGTATTTTAGTCATTTAAAACATTTGCCCCACTTAATTTCCAATTCATGAATAATGGTGAATAAATACTTTGAATTATTATGAATTATTAATAATACATGGTAAAAGCATACTTGAACTTAAAAACCTATTGCAATTTATAAAGTGAATAAATGCAATTTGAAATGCATGCAAAATTTAATAAAAAGAGTTGTATTTCCTGTATGACTAAAATTTTTGTAGTCTATAGGACTTGATGTTTTTTGAAGGTGAGAGTATGCAGTGAGTGCTGCAGGGATTTGCACAGGATGAGAGAATTGCTTTATGGTTGAAAGCTCTCCTGGAGTAGATTCCGTCACTGACTGTACTATGTAGTTTCTGCGTGATGATGGATACCCACTGAACCAAATAATTGGAAAAATTAAAAAATAAGTCTGTGCACGTGCTTATTTTAACTATAGTCTAGTCTTTTACATGATGGTATATTACATAATCCTAATTTTTATGACTAATTTATTTTGTAGTTGAGTGAAAATCCAACTGTTCAGAACCAATCTGAACCATTGTGTCTTTCAATTTGGGTCCTGTGAGAGCCACGAGCTCTGTTCACTGCACTGCTGAGCTTTGACCTTCCAGAAAAAATGTTTCCACAGCTTAATAGAGAAAAAGCAAGAACTTTGCAGCTACTAGTTTGGGTGCTTAACAATCCTTAAGGTATATGGTGAGCTTCTTTTTCAGTTAGTTTCCTGCTTTCTGCCCATTTTTCTCTACAGTCTTAAAAAGAACAAATACATTTTTCTTGGAGCAAATGTCTATGGCAATGGTATGTCCACATTTGATTGAAGAGACGCTTCTTTTCTGTGTTTTGAACAGAAAACATACCAAGGATTATTAAATATGTAGGAAAATAAGTGGCTGTACCTGAAGTGGTGATGGGTACTTTCACTCTTCATCTTTTTGTTCCCCATACAGAAGATGGAAATAATGATACAGCCCCTTTCCCTCACAGCAGTGTCCAAAGGTTAATACCTGCCTAGGAAGTGCTTGGATGCTACTATAACGGTGAGCATTTGAGAAAAGCTGGGGATAAACTGCTAATTTTCCTTCTAGGGCAGTGTTTAATGAGAGAAATATAAACAAGCTCCGCTATACCCAGTGGTTGATAGGAATTTGACAAAACATACTGATGTTCACTGGTGATCACTGTAATTTTTGTGTATTGATGGTGGAAAAATAGTGCCAGACTATTAAACTAATGCCTGTGCCACTGTCAATAACATAAAGAGGACTGATAACCCTTCCCCTTTCCCTAGGTGTGATGCAGAGGTCTCATTTAGCCACCTCTTCCAGTTGTCTCTGAAGACATACATAAAACATTTGAATCCTGTTGATGAAAATCAGCTGAGAAATGAGCATTTACTGCACATTATTTGTTATGCCAGTTTTTTTTATATGCTCCCAGACCTTAATAATTTCTGAAGTACATATTAAACCAACATGTACATGATTTGCCAGTGTTTCTAGAAGTATCTGGTTAATCATCTTCACACAGAATACATCAAAACCCAAAGTATGCTCTCTTTTCTGAATGATTAAGCCAGGCTTCCCATAACATTTCACTAGGAAGTAGGGCTGCTGCTGTCTGCTAACAACAAAGTGAGAAGGAAATACATGTAATCTTGCCTCTGAAGTCATATCATCTGCTGTGAAAAACAAACAAAACAAACCAGAAAAAAATGGGAAAAGGAAAGAACAACGATCCCAAAGACGTGAAAAAGAAGGAAAAGGCCAAGATACAACTCAAAAGAAATATAGGTTATTTTGATGGGGTAAGTTTTATCATAGGAACAATTGTTGGCGCAGGGATCTTTGTGTCTCCCACGGGGGTGTTAAAGCATTCCTCACTCAATGTTGGCATCGCACTAGTGATCTGGACAGCATCTGGTCTGGTTTCTCTGATGGGTTCCCTCTGCTATGCAGAGCTGGGAACTGCTCTGCCCTTCTCTGGAGGAGAATACAGCCACATTAAAAGAGGCCTTGGAACCCTGCCTGCCTTCATGTTCATCTGGACGTCAACATTTACCAAGCCAGCATCAAATGCTGCTCGAGCCTTGCTGTTTGCTGAATATGCCACCCAACCCTTCTATGGCATTTGCCCTGTCCCAGAAGTGCTGAAGAAATGCTTGGCCTTGGCTGTTCTCTGGTCCCTGGGTATTCTGAATGGCCGCAGCGTCAAGATGGCTGCCTGGGTGCAGACAGTTTTCACCGTGCTGAAGATGATGGCCCTGTCTGTGATTGCCATCGGTGGCATCATTCTTCTCATTGGCAGGAAGAAGGAGAGCCTGGCCAGGCTTGAGGATGCGTTCAGCTCAGAGATCCCTAACGCTTCACAGGTTGCCGAAGCCTTCTTCCAAGGACTGTATGCATATGGTGGTTGGTGGTCCCTCAATTATATGGCAGGTATCTCCTTTTCTTTAGATTTTGTTCTGTAGTTGCTACTCTTACATTCCTCAGTTTAGCAGAACTTGTCTCTCCTTCAAGACCATAGGGTCTCTCATGTTTTGCATGAGTCCTGTGTTTGCTGGGGCTGGTAGAAGAGGCGTTGTTTCTCTCTAGGGAGGCTTCTTGTTTCTTGTGCACTCTCCAGAATCAGACTGACATTTCTAAAGGAGTACAAGGGAAATCAAAATACTTCATTTAAAATCTCATGCATGAACAGATTTTTTCATACCTTAAGGAGTTGCATTTTGTTTTTCTCAGTGTCAGTGCATTTTCAGAAAAAGATTAAGATATCTGTGCCAAACTATGTGCACAATAAGGACTAAATCAAAGAAGAGAACTGTTTAATTTGTATTTAAATATCTGTAGCTTCTCTGAGGTTATGCAGCTGGTTTGTACATGGACAACTTCATTTTGAATTGTGGTAAAATATACTAATTTTATGGGATCTATAGGATGGTCAGTAGTCACTTCCTTGGGAAAATAGTTTTGCACAGAAGGTGAAGAATAATCTATGGAAAGTGGTGTAAATCCTTTCATATAACTTGTGTTTAATTTTAAATATTCAAAATATTTTTAAACATTCATTTACTTATCCTGTTTTGCATCTGATGACACATGTGGCAGTAATAAATAGAATAGATTTTCATGAAAGCTGCAAAGATACTGTTCATGATGTTAGTTATGCATGTCACAAGTTAAATAAATAGCGTTTTATGGTATCATCATATTTATAGAATTAAGTTGTAAGCAAGTGGATGTTGCTCATGTATCTTTAACCTTATTTATCCATTGACCTCTATCACATGTAAAACATTAAATAAACTGCATGTGTGAAATGCATAACACAAAGTTCAGTGGTGAGAACAGTGTGAAAATTGGGTTAATGTTTAAAAAAATGACTGTTATTATTACAATCCAGCTATTCCAGCATTACCAATGTGCTGCAATAAAAAGGTGATATAAATCAGCCAAGTATAATTTTGAAATCTTAGAATTTTCTTAAAAGCAAGCATTTAGCTTTGTAAAACAAAGAAAATACAAAATTAGTGGTAAAATATAAATTTATTTTTTAACCAGTTATAAGTAGTAATAAATACCATATAGTGGGCAGTACAGCTGCTCAGACAGGTGCAACCTATGCAGTAGTCCTCTTCCGAACTGAATTTTCTATTCTTCAACAATAACTGCATTCCTGTGAGCTTCAGCTAAAGCATCAGGTGCCAGCTGGATGGCAGGACTGTAATAAGCTACAAAACAAATGGAAAGACAAATTTAAATTGGCAATTTTGGTGATTGTCCCCTTCTGGGCTCAGAATTACCAAGTGTTATTCTTACATTTGAAATAAAACCCAAATTCTTTGATAGTCCATATCTGAATCTCACTGCTGTGCTCATTCAGTCCCTCTGGCTCTGTGCGCTACAGCTGGCACTGGGGCAGGCTCAGAGCTGATATTATGGGCAGGAGACAGAAATTACATTTGAGGGAGGAAAAGGATTTTTGTCTCCTAAAAACAGCTTAAGTAAGCTGCACATCTGAGTTTTCATTTCTTCCCCTTTGTGTTACTGGTTGGTAATACTCAGGAAGTCTTCGGTAAATGCTAAGAGAAGTGGGAAAGGGAGAAGGGAGCACAAGGGAAGGAATGAAGGAGTGAAAAAGATTTTAAAAACCCTTTTTAAGATGAGGATGAATTATTAAGGTTCTGGAAACCAGCTCCATCTTTTACTGCAACTATCACATGGTCAGGAATATGTGCCAGTGCCTTAGTTGTTCAGCTGCAAAGCTTGGAGTCTTTTATTTGGTAAGAATAGTTTTAAGCTAAGATGCCAGGCTTTACACTAAACAGTTTCCCTTCGCCAGCTTTGCCCTGGAAAATATGATCAACAGCAGAATCCATCCGGGAATGCCCCCCTTTTAAAGCCACTGCATTACTGTTTTTCTGTCAATACCTTCAGTTTCTTCCCCTAGTGTAAGGACAAAGAGAAAGACTTTGTGCAGGAATAGGAAAATACGCTCAGAAAGTTTCAGATCAGGACTCATGAGGTGATGTAAGAATAAATAAACTGACTTTAGAGCCTGATGTTCAATCTTGTGATTTACAAGTATGGCTACTTGAAAAGATCTTACCAAATTAATTTTCTAATGTAAGTCAAATATTTGTTAAATCGTAAAAAAATTATCATTGAATCATAGAATGGTTTGGATTGGAAGGGACCTTAAAGATCATCCAGTTTAACCCCCCTGCCATGAGCAGGGACACCTCCCAGCAGACCAGGTTGCTGAACGCCCTGTCAAACCTGGCCTTGCACACTTCCAGGGAGGGGCATCCACAACTTCTCTGGGCAACCTGTTCAGTGTCTCACCACCCTCACAGTAAGAATTTCTTCCTTTGTCTAACCTATCAGTCCTTTTGTAATTTTTTTTAATCAGTCTATCAGACCTGTCTGTCCAAGATAGTTAAAAAATAGCTAAATGAGGAAAAAAGAGATTTGAAGAAATGAAAAATATTTTGTTTAGACTTCTTTGATAATAACCTATTAGAGAACAACTGCAGGACCTCTCAAGCAGCATAGCTTAGGAGCCATGATTAGGGGTTGGGCAGGAGTTTGATGTCAGTCTTGTTAAGCTCTGTGCAGATTCACTACCAAAACATACTTGCAGAAGCTGCATTACTTGCTTTATTAGTCTTTTTTAAATTGTATTTTGCAGAAGAGATGAAAAACCCTAGTAGAAATATCCCCTTAACTGTGATGACTGCTGTTCCGGCTGTAATTGTATTTTACTTACTGGTGAACATCTCATATCTGACTGTCCTCACACCTAAGGAAATTGTCTCTTCAGGTATGGATTTGATTTTTTTTTTAATTGAAAAGGTGTAGTCCATTAGCATACCTATCTGATATCAATTTGCTGGGTTACCTCTGCTCATCTTGCTTCACAGTCAGGAAGTCTGTGTTTCATTCTAAGTTTTAGCAGAGAATGCTTGTTTAATTTTACTGAATGATGGAAGTTGAACTGAATGCAGACGGATGTTACTAGGCATTGAAAATGTTGGCTTATACCTGCACTATCTTAAAAAAACATCAAAAGTGTATTAAAACCTGGAAAATCAGGTGAAGATCAGGTCCCTGTTGAGTATAGAGAAGGCCTTTGTTTTCCTGTAGTTTTAATCTTCTCTCCTCCTTCCTTCCCCGCCTCATGGTGTCTCAGGCTGAAGCTATTACTATTTAGGAGGTGGACAAGTCTACCATGATAAATAATACAGAAAAAAACTCTGCACACAAAAATGTAGCCATTCTGTGTGTGTGTGGAGGTTATTCATTACAAATATTGAGAGTCCTTAAAATATATATATATGCAACAGGCCAGTTTATGTAAAGCCTCCCACGCCTCTCTCAGATCCTGCACCAATAGGCTGTCCTTGAAAAGGTCCAAGAGGAGCTGTATTACCCCTTGGTTGTCCAAGCAGCACCTTATAAATACCACTGTGATGAAGCTGCGCTGTTGGGCCTTGCCTCCTGTAAATGACAGAAAATATACCTCATTTGGGTGGATCAATTATTATTTTTTTTTTACTCTGTGAGAACAGCTCAATAACATAAATGAAGAGTGGTGTAGCTGTCATTAAGCAGCCTCCTGTTACAGCTCAGCCATTATCAGGCTATCTGCTGGGAGAGATGCATACACTGGCAGATGCATCCTACAATGAAAAAGGTGTAGAATACCAGAGTATCCCTGAACAGCAGCTGGCATGAGCAGCTCCAAACATACCAGAGTGTCTGTATTATCTACATCAGTTGAGATAGCCTTAAAATTATAGCTCTTCTTTCAAACATTGCTGTGCATTGCTGCAGTTCTTGTTTGTTCAGTACATATTTTTGGAGGTTGTTTTCCCCTACTCTAATAACTTCCTATGCTGTGCAGTTCACTGCAAGACCTATATTCCTTGTGGCACTTGGTTATAGACCCTCTAAATACTCGTCCTTGCTACAATACGGACTATAGCTGATTTCCAAGAAATACTGAGTAACTCTTGTTCAGAAATAATTTTTCACATTTCCCAGTTCCACCTAAAGCAAAACCTCATTAATAACGCTCTTGCTGACCTGTCTTTACCCGTGCACACACTCATGTTAGCAGTTTCCTTGTAACAGTAGATCATGTCACCACTGTGGTCACACTGGGGACTAATGCCTTCATTTTCTTTCCCCGCTTGGCCTTGCCCGTGCGTGTATGTTTGTGATTCATGGAGGTGAGATGCAGCTTGCTCCCGCTGGGCAGTCCATTACCATGGTATTGGTCCCAGCAGGTTTACCCGGCTTGCTCTGGCAAGCAGCACTCCTTCTTGCTGTCACCTCCCCAGCAAATTTTTAGCTCCTGAATTAAATACTCTTAGGATTAGATTAGTCATGTTTGACTACTGTAAAAAAAAACCAACAGAAACAAAAATCAACAAACAACAGGCATTTCTGGTAAAGAAAACATATTTCATGTATTTTAAGTTTCATTTCTGTTGAGTCTGTTAGTAATTCAAAATATGGTACTTATATTACATTAATACTTTGCTTTCTTGCAGTTGCTGTGGCAGTCACTTGGGCTAATCGAGTGATCCCCTCTGTTGCCTGGATCATTCCTCTCTCAGTTGCTGTCTCGATATTTGGTGCCCTCAACAGCAGCATGTTCACACTAGGTCGATTAAGCTATGCTGGAAGTCAGTCAGGACATTTACCTGTTTTAATATCCATGCTTAATGTCCACTCCTGTACTCCAGCACCAGCCATGATTTTTTCAACCACCATTGCATCCATTTTTATAATTCCCTCTGACCTTATTATGTTAACAAATTACTTTGGATTTTCTGCCTGGCTTATGGTTGGATTGACTTGTACAAGCCTGATTGTACTTCGATACCGAGAACCTCATCTACATCGACCATACAAAGTAAATAGAAATAAATTATAATATATTTTTGTATACTTTTTTTTCAGTCATGGGTAGCATGCAAAAGTTATGGAACAATTGTAGGTCAAAAGTGGATAGTCACTACAAAATTACAAATAATAATCACAGTCTTTAGAGCCATATTCAAAAACTTTGCTTTGCTGTAAAAGGAAAAGAAACAAACAGATGGTCTCTGACCCAGGGAGATGGCATGTGAAAACAAGAGATGGATGCATGTACAGAATGGGGAGTATGTGCAAACAACACAAAACCATTCTAGCGCGGAGTAGTAACCAGAACAGTGTGGGATCCAGGGTGACAGTTCACCTTGATTAAACCTTTATCTACTCTGATCTTTCCTAACACAGTCACAGACATTAAGGATAGGTTTAATTTCATCTCAGTCTATCTGTCAGGAACAAGGGTTAAAGTGTATGCTCATTGTCATGTCTCCTTCTAGGCACCCAGCCCCAAGTTTCTTTTAGGAGTCTGTAGTATCATGTGTGGATGAATGGTTTTCAGGGCCTGCCTAACTCTCCCCATTGACAATCGAAGGAGACTGAACATTTTAGAAAAGATGTCTATCTTGTAGGGAATTTGAGGTCAGATGAATCTCATGCTGTGTGAGATTGCAGCAATGTGAGAAATAGTACTCGAATGTAAGAACACAGTATTACTCTTATGAATGATGCATAAAATCACAGTTGCTCAGGTTATTTCCTAAAACAGTTTTTTTCTTTCTCTTGCAGGTGTTTCTGCCAGTTCCATTTATAATGGTGGCAACATCGTTCTTCTTAGTTTTAGCTCCCATAGTCTGGTCTCCAAACTTGCAATATGTTTATGCTTTCCTGTTTATGCTGGGAAGTCTTATTGTTTATTTACCTTTTATACATTTTAAATTGCATTTTGCATTTCTTGATAAAATTACTTGCCACTTACAGCTCCTGTTGGAGGTCTCTCCTGCTGATGGATCTGCTGAAAGCAAGTGTGAATAATGGCAAATGTTTAATCCCAGTACAACTGACAGCCAACAGAGGATTTTGTTTAACTGAGACTGTGGAAGGTACAAGTTAGATGTTAGGTGTGATATAGACGCATGCATATGTGTATATGTATACACATACGTAGGTGTATATACATATATTGCATGCTTTATACATATATGTATATATAGGTATAAACATTAGCATAATGAATTAATATGTATATATATTTGTGCGTCTGTGGGTATACATACATATATGTAGATGTATATGTATGCTTATTTAACAGGTGCAAAGAATCTCCTAAACATTTAAAATCTGTAAAATGCTCTCTCTTGCTTCTGAAGACACAGTTAAAATTGCATATATTCTTGTAATAATAGAAATAAGACTAAATTACAGCACAAATAATTATCAATATAATTACATAATAAACAGCATCATAATATAAATATAGTTTTGGTCTCCAAATGAAATTGTATTATCTTTAGCTCGTAGTACCTTGTTTATTAGAACTTCTGGTTTTAAAGGCTTTATACTTCTGTTCATCTGCTACATCTTTTGTCTGAATTTATTTTTAATAAAAACATTTGAACAATGTAATAAAATTGACTGAGACATTTTTAATCCTGAGAAAACTGTACTTGGTACATCTTAGCTAGTTTAGAACAACACATACAATTTCATGGTGAAATCTTAGGAAACGTCAAATAAGGCAATAAGAATTATTTATCTGCTTCACCACTGCAATAAAAATAAAGATATGTGGATTACGTTACTAAATTGTGTACGTCTTAGCATTAATATTAACTTATTTCTTGGTTTCTTTTTAGTGTTGTTGAGAAATGAGAGATTTTTAGGCCCGCTGCCCTTCATTTTTATTTTGTTTATGACAGCAAGATAAATTATTTATTTTGATAACAGAGCTGTATTAAGTTCACTGAATATTTAACCTTAAAAACAAAGAACCAGTACAGAAGAAGCATCACATTCTTAGGTGATTAATCTGTTAATGTATGCTGTTATTTTTATAATTACAATAAAATTACATGTGTAAAGTGTTTTTTTCAAATCTGTCCATTATGCTTAGCAATACAACCAGTAGATGGCTCCAGACTAACATCACGCTTACACCCTGATATTCTGGGTTGCTGGATGTTGTACTTGTGAGAGAAATAGTTTTACAGATCACTCTACTTACAGAAGAATGAGGAAATTCTTGCTAGAAGATTCAATTCTCTGACATATCAAAAATGTAGAGGCCAGAATGATAGATAAAGAGTTTATACATCGCTACCCAAAATATAGCATACTCATCAATAATGCTGGGGACCAATTGACTTTGCACTGGAACAAGCCCCCAAATGAAAACAAGTACCTGACAAAAGTGGCTTTTCTCACAGCTGGTGATGTATACAGAATGAAAATCTGAAGTAAAAATTAGGCCTTTTAAAATGCTGTAGGAAGAAAAGTCCTTGCAAGTGAGAAGTGAAGTGAATACAGCTGAGCTGGAGACGATCCTGCTGAAAGCAAGGTAGGAACCAATGTTTAGTTTCACTCAATAGGGCTATTAGAAAAACAGTTATCTCGCTATGCAAATTTAAAAAATCATAAGACTCAACAGAATTTTATAGAAGTAATACTTTAAGAACTGAATTCTAGTGAGTATTAAAAAGATAGAAAGATTTTACTGTGACCAAAGAACCAACCAGGCATTTGTAAATGTAGGTGTGGTGTCTGGCAGTGCCACAGATTTTCATCTGATCTTGATCATGTCGCTTATTTAAAGTCATGTTTTTATATGTAAATAAAAATGCAAATAATAAGAAAAAAAAGTGGATAGGACAACAATCTTGTATTGAAGACCATGCTGTTAGAAGAAGCAGACATCAAGGGGATGTTGGTCAATTGCAGGTGTAATTTCTATGTAATTTCTTGTCAGTAGATCTCCTTGAGCTTGTTTATATGCTTCAATTCCATAGGGAGTTGGGTACCTAGTGAAACATATGTCAGGGAATGTTTGGGTAATTGGAGCATGTATCCGTTAGTGATACAAAATTTGAATTTAGAGGTTTAGCAATTTCCACAAATTAGGGAACTCAAAAGTCCCAATGAATGTTAAAATAAATTGCATCTATGTATCTTTTTGTGATATGAAGTGGACAGTTTTTCTTTTAACAAAAATCTAGCAAATTGCACATAGACAGTCACACACATACCCTGCAGTTTCAATGGTTATTGCCAAAGGATCAGCAAAGACGAGAACAGTTCAAGCAGGTCAGAATTAAAACTGCCCAAGCAAGCTTAACCTGCCCGCTCTGTGAAGGCACCTTACAATGGTCCTTCATTGTGAGATCAATTATTCTTTCAATATACACTTACCTTATTTACTGGATAAAGTATACTGTGCCCAGATAATTTGCTATTATTTTCTTCCCATTTCAGTCTGTGTCCTTGCACTTTATTTATCATTTTCCCCTCAGATGCTGTTCTTGATAGCCATTATTAATTTCTTACTGACTTTTCTATGAGGTTCCTCATGACAGCATCTGAGCACTTCACAAAAAAACCCACTAATTTGTCTATACTCTCATGAGCTGAACCAGTGGTGTCATCTTTGCTTTGTGGAAATTGAATTAAGCTGATGTGTAGGTTGGACGACAAATGCATTTTGCGATATTCCCTGAGATCCTTCAATTCAGATCAAACGCCTTGGTGGAGAACCACTGATGTAGGTTCAGGTCCAACTCTTGAGGCTTCTTTATCTTAGGAAGCAGGGCAAAGAGCTGGGCAATTGGTGAACATAGACCTTGTATAGATATTCAGCCACTATATACAGATTTCAGTTCTTCCACGTCTTTTACAAAGAAGGTATGGCCAAAATTGTTCAATAACTTTGGATGCCTAAGCTGAGGTACCTTGGACTTGATTTTTTTGTAGTAAAGTTCAGAGCGCCTACAGTCTGCTGGAATTAAGGTCCAAGAATAGTAAAAAAGGAAAGAAGGACAAGTTATCACAGTCAGTTTGGTTTAGATGAATAACTGATCTCCTGTAACTCAACTTCTGGCTAGCTGTAGGTAACTGCAATTCCTTTAAGATGTACAGTTATGAAATGTTAAATTACAACTATGCGAGTTTAAAATTCCACCAAATTAAGCCATGATGATTTAAGGTGGCGTATAGAAAACAAGAACAACAGAATTAATGAGAATTTTAAAATATGTTGGTTTAAATTATTCCAATCTGACCTTGGAATTTTATGGGGAAAAAGTAGTTTGAATTCCTCTGGGCAATATTAAAATTCCTTAATCCAGCAACCCTTCTACAAGTGCTACCTTATTCACTACATCAAATTCCTACAGCAAGTGAGGGATGTCTGCCTCACTTTTAATGTCTTCTTCAACACAAACTGTTGACTTATTCCCAGATCTGAGTGAGACAGGGGTCCTCTGAAAAAGAACACCCTCATTAAATGACTTGGTGTTTGGAAAGGGACTCACACAGCTGAGCTAAATTAACATTATAAAAGCAATCTCAGATATGGTATTGCATATCTTCTGAATAGGAGTTGCTTGATGTTTTCTCAATGCAGCCTTTCTTTTGCCTGAGTGTTTTAGAATGCTAAATCACAAAGAAGCAAATACAGTATTCAATTCATATAGATTTCTTATTGTTGCTGGATCATTCCACATTTCCAAGCACTAAGCATAAAGGAACAGAATTCAAATTTATAACTCGTATTAGCTGCTCTGACCAAGAGCAATTCAATATTTTAACATTATAGCTTGTTTTCAGTGACACTAGTTGGTCTCAGTTGCTTTCCTACTTGAACATATCTCACCAAATGCTATATAGAAGTGTGGCTGTTTTAGTACTAGGCTATATCAGACATTTATTTAAATCTTTATTTTTTTTACCTTTGACTTCGTAATTCTTTTAACCTTATGCATACCCGCATGTTTCAGAAGTTCAGCTTTACAACAAATAAACTTAAAATGTGGATTTTTTTCAATACTGTACTGGCCCGGTTTGGCATGTAACATTCCTAGCTGCTTTTTAGGTTCCTAACACGTTATTTGTATGAGTGTTTGTATCACTTTATTTTTTGCCACTATCTCCAGTGTAAAAAACCCTAATGTTAATCAGTCTTATTTTAAAAATTACTTGTAGTTATACATCATGCTAACTGCCTGTGTGCTGATGGCTTTGCAAAAAAAATTCACTCTAGAGCAAACCCAGCAATTGTACAGAAGAAATGAAAAAAACCCAGCAATTACTTCTCTACTTCCCTTTTCATAGTTATCATTGACTATGATTCCAATAAAAGGATAAGCAACTAATAAACACTTGTACATTTTTGTTGATGCTTTGATGTGGTGATTTTTGGTTGAAATCTCTGGCTTATGCAGGAGAGGGTGAGAGAGGAGCTGCCTTTAGCTGTTAGTTGTGGAGGTGCTCAGACCTTCTCATTTCTAATCTTGGGTTTGATATGTGCACTGTGGTCATTGCTAAGGTTCCCCACATGTCAGTTTGCACATCTGCTAAAACAGAATCAGTTTTGTTTTAACAACTTACAGGTCACAGAGTATTTGCTTGTCACCTTCTCTTCTGGATTGCAGGCAGAAATTATTCTTGTAATTGCCTTCTATGGCTTACTCCAAGTGATTGGGGACCCTGAGCATTCCCAGTTCTTACTGGCTTGATTTGTAAGAGCTGTATGTGCTTCAGGAACTTTGAAGCTGTTTCTGTTCTGCTTTGAATCAGGGAAATAAACATTTTTAAATTAGCTGGTTTGGATAACCTGCATATGCCAGGTTTAAAGGCACCGTTGAGGAGCTTGACTACTAATGTTGATTTTCAATAACTCCTGCAACACAGGGCAAGTTTAGGGAGAGCAAAAGAAAGTTAACATGCCAATATTTAAAAAGAATAAAAGATATGACTCAAGTAATTATTGTCAGTGTGACATAAATCCTTGGAAAAATAATGGAACAGCTAATATGAAACTGAATTAATAGAATTAAAAGAGAGTAGCATTATTAATGCCAGTTCATTTCTGTTTATGGAAAATAATCCTATCAAACCAGCTTCACATAATATTTTCTGTAATTTTGGTTGATTAAAGGATAATTGTGTTCATGTATAATACTCAAACTTCTTTACTTGAAATGAGATGATAAGTCTTATGAAATCTCT